GTATCGGCGCGTGAAAAAAAAAAAAAAAAAGGTGTGGGGAAATGAGCTTTTTAGTATGCGTGCTGAAGGAAATCCACAGGTTGGGAGGGGTTCGATGATGACTACGACTGAGCTCCGCGCCCACAACAGGTAGCGGGTTATATTCGGTACTAATCGACACGTTATAAACGGAGGGAGTAGAGTTAAATTGTTCATTACGCGGCGCTCTCTGGAATACCTGATTCTGATTGGTCAATGGTTATTACATATATATTCTTAAGTAAAATCATATTGTTCCAATTCAAGCCAAAATATCATGTCCATTTTTCGTAGTCGTGTGTTAAGTGGGATAATGCACACAAACAAACCCCTTCAGGGTGATTAAGACAAGGTGATCATTATTATGTTGTGGTAATTATTATCTAACGGGACTTATCCCTTACAATGTATACGTTTGACAATTATCTTATGTCCCGCGTTTCGAAGACGTGCTGTTATGTACTGAATGCCATCGCGTTTCAATTTCCTAATGTTTGATTTTCCAGGATGTTTGGGCAAGGAATTGTCCTGCCCTTTATCAAAAAATGATAGCCATACTTTGCAGTTTCTAGGTTACCATCACGATCTCTTTCAAAACTACAGCCAGCTTTCTGCACTAATAATCGTAATCACCTGACGAATACGGTTGCCATAGCAATATTTCTGCACCCTGGTAGAGGCGCGTCTGGCAGCGCGCCAACGAAAGCTTTGTTGTCGTGGATACAGTTTACCCTTGTTTTGGTTGTGATGAAGGGCTTGAGGGTCTCACCTTAAATAGTCAACGATGACCTATTGTTCACAGCAAAATATTATTCAATAAACTGAAATCCTAGATCTGTCACAATAAATATTCTAAATATAAATATCTTGCTCATCTGAAATATGGTAAGGAGTAATTATGGGACACTGACACCGCATATGACAGATGGTGTATTAATCAAAAATCATATGAGCTTACCAAAAAGAAAAGAGTATACAGTGCATCAATATTGTTTCGCCGTCTATTGTATACTAGCATTTTCTGTCATCAACACCCCTGCAGGCATTTCAGCAGTTTACTTACACAGTATCACATTATTTCTAAATGAAAGAGATGCAATTTATTTAATTGCGATGGGCTCAGATATCATTTTGCATATGAAACAGAAGGAGGGAAGGGAAACAGGCACACCATTTAAAACTGCTGGCAAATCATTTTAATGGGAAAACTGCTGCCGTGAAAAACTGGATATAAATAAAAGCATATTAACAGCTAAGCAATACATTTCCTTACAGTGAAAATTACAATAATTAAATCACAAGAAATTTGATTGTTTTTTTAATATTGTTGAAATTGTTTTGCATTAGTAAAAAGTTATGAGTCACTTAATGCATAAAAAAACCATTAAAAGATGTTCCTACAAGTCACCGTGTAATGCATCCCATTTGATTAAATTTTATTTAATACAAATCAGTTTCTTATTCTTTTTAAGTTATGTGCATGATGGTGTTTTCATGTTACTTTTTTTTAGTTCATGTTTATTGTATTACACTGTGAAATAATATTTATGAAAGTTTTGTTTCACTTTTATTTTTAATGTTTCTTTATGAAGTTTGACATGCTGAATATGAAAATCATATTATTTTGTAATAAATAATTAAATAAATAACAATGTTGATTACTTATACAAGCAAATCTGTTATCACTCTTGTATAAACATTACATGGCACATGCTTAATTCTGAGCTAACAACAGTTTAAGATAAACATTTACCAAAAGTGATTCGTCCAAAATTTCAGATGTGTACGCTGGATGATTTTTGTCTTGTATGACTAGTCCCACAATGTTCTGGAATGTTCCAGAAAGCACTAGAACATTACAGAATGTTACAGAAACTTTTAGAATTAATTTTAAAATTATTTTAAATATGCAAAATTAGTACAAAAACTTATCTGTACTAAACCAATGTTTCAAAATTAATGACAGAATTCTAAAATGTACCTGACCTAAATATATACCAAAAAAATTGATGCTACGTGAAAATAAATAGTACAACAAGGCTCGAAATTGCGACCATTTTGGTCGCATATGCTCCCAGTCAAATTATTGTTATCGATAAAATCCCAGAAAATATCGAGATATAATTGTCAATATCGCACACCCCTAGCTGTCAGCCGTTCGGTGCAACTGGCAGAGCTGAATGTAAAATTTAACACCGCATACACCATCCTAACCCTCGCCAAAGAAGAACTTAACTTTAGGTTGTTTGCAAAAGAAATCTGTCAGTGTTCTTTTCATTTTCTCTCTTCTTCAGCCCTTTCTTTTTCTCGGTAGTTAGCGGAAAGCAGTGACTGAGAGATTGACAGCTAATATTAACCAATATAAAATCTGCATTAAAGTTAAGAATGTAAGGATAAAATCTGTTAATATATAATTTGTAGTTGTGGTGCTCCTAAATTTTTGGTGAGTGCTCCTACATTTTTGCTGGTGCTCCTAACTTTTTGAAGTTGGGAGCACCAGTGCTACCAAGTAATAAAGTTAATTTCGAGCCCTGTACAATAATAATTAGCACCACTGAATTACAGAAGAACCATAAAAAAAAAAAAATTAAGTGAAACATTTTTTTTTTTTCATTGTTATTGTAGCGTATGTGATTGTGTTGTGGACTCTCTTTCATGTAGTCATCTACTGTATCCATTTGCACCACTTTGTGTTACTGTAGCATGTTTAGTTGTTAGTTGAAGTTAAGATTAATTTTAATGACCAATTTATGCAGAAATCCAGATATATCCAAGGGTTCGCATACTTTTTCCTTCAACAAAAATATCACATCACTTTGTGTAAAAGTCAAACAAAATATTGATCTCAGCTGCATATATTTCCCAACACATTCTGCCTAAAATAGAGATGGCAACTGGTGTGAGAATTGTCTCTCCTAGCTGGTGTTTTTAGTGGGCCTAAAGGGCATAAAAAAGAGCTAATTAGATGGGGAGAGAAACTGCCCCAGTTCTGGCACAATAAATGCGTGTAAACACTTGCACTCTTACACCTAGTCATGAGAGCTCTCAGTCGGAGCCAAGCTCTCTTGATGAAATTATTCCCTCTCATTCATAGCACGAGTCATATCAATGAAGTCAGATTCTCTCAGCTTCTGACATATGGCCAAGTAATTGATTACAAGATCAAGCAGTATTTGATGATGAAATCAGTCCAGCAAAAATAGCACAACATATGCACTTTGTTTGTGACTGGTTGACGTCTTACATAAGATACTCTTCTGTTCAAAATGTGATGCATATGGCGGGACACTCAAAAACAGTGTGATGCAAACACCTAAGTAAATAAAAAAATAATAATTATAATAATAATAATTACATTATCTAGGACGACTCTACCGATCCCTTTGTGCAGGCAGTTGTTTGTTTGTATTTGCTACTCATCAGTATAGAAATCCATAATTCATATGACGGTCATTGGGAGTGATCTTGTTTGCAAGTCATCCAGATATAGCGACAGTCTTCCTTTTGTCTTCAGGGAACACAGGAAATATCTGTGGCCGAAAACAGTCTCAATTGACTTTTAGGGTGAATTTCATGGTCCACGACCAACTGGGAAGGCTTTTACTCAGAAGAAAAAATTTATTTGTGCATCTAACTATAGCACTCTGTCGATATGTCTGCTGAGGTCAGAGGCTGTGTTTGATAATTAAAGCCAGACGAGTCTCGTCTCCTGGCATCCGTGAATTAACTGGCTTCTGCTGACTGAAAGGTACAGAGCAAGGGTTCCTAAAAGAATAGTAT